CCCCAAAACCCCAAAACCCCAAAACCCCAAAACCCCAAAACCCCAAAACCCCAAAACCCCTTGATTAATTCAAGAATTTGAATAACAGATCAATAAATTTAAAATGGACAGTCGATCTAACTATATTCAGGAGAAGATCAAATCCTCTTCTGGGGAAGCCTACATCCGCAAGTGGGTCAAGGGAAATTTCCTTGGCAAAGGAGGCTTCGCCAAGGTATATGAGTTTATGAATACTGAGACCAGGGAGACATTTGCTGCTAAAGTTATCCCTAAGGAGTCCCTTTTGAAGAAGAGAGCTAAGCAGAAGCTTATTTCTGAAATCAAAATTCACAAATCAGTCAAGCACAAGCATGTTGTTGGATTTGAGCATTACTTCGAAGATTCAAGCTGTGTCTATATTCTGTTGAATTTATGTCCGAATCAAAGTTTGAATGAACTTTTGAAAAGAAGAAAAAGGCTTCATGAGATTGAAGTCAGGTACTACACTCTTCAGATTGTCTCCGCTCTGGAGTATCTCCACAAGAATCGAGTCATTCACAGAGATCTCAAGCTGGGAAATTTATTTATAAATGAAGATATGGATCTCAAGCTTGGAGATTTTGGACTTGCAGCTAAGTTGGATTTCGATGGTGAGAGAAAAAGAACAATCTGAGGTACTCCAAATTATATCGCTCCAGAGGTTTTAGAAGGCCGGAATGGTCACTCTTATGAGGTTGATATATGGTCCTTAGGAGTCATCATCTATACTCTTATCGTAGGAAAGCCTCCTTTTGAGACTTCTAATGTTAAATCAACTTATGATAAAATTAGAAAGAATTCTTATTACTTTCCTGAACATGTCTCTATATCAAAAGAGGCGAAAAGTTTGATAAAATTGGTACTAAATTCGAATCCAACCAAAAGGCCGACATTAGAGGACATCAAAGATCATCAGTTCCTCGTTCTTCCAAGCCCACCGACGCTACATCCATCTCTGTTGGCATGTCCTCCTACCAAGACTTTCATTAATAAATACAGTATCACTGCTTCTACCACAGAATCTCTTGGAATTAAAAAGAACAATTTCTTGGGTATGAGTGGAAAATATTACTCTTCCAAGAATTTAAAGTCTGGCAAAGAAAATATCCTGACTAAAATTGTGCCAAATACAGCAAAGGACACTCGGGACAAGGCTAATACTGAAAATATCCTTTCAGGCTTTCGCTTATCTTCAAGGACAACTAGGAAGGAGGACCAAAAGATGTCGGAAATAGCCCTCAAATCCTTTGAAGTGCCTATCCATGCTAAGAAATGGATTGATTATACAACGAAATATGGTCTTGGGTATGTCCTCTCTGATGGTTCCATCGGTGTCTTCTTTAATGATGCAACAAAGATCATCTGAGATAGCTCAACTAAAGGTTTCCAATACTACGAGAAGAATAAAAGTATGGAAGATTCACCTATCAAGCATAGCTTGTCAGAGTATCCTGACAAGTTTGAAAAGAAGGTTACCCTACTGCATCATTTCAAAAGCTATCTTGATCAGAACACCAAGCCTGAAGACATAGAGCATTCTTCTCCCTCAGGAAACTTGATTTATATTAAAAAGTGGATAAAGACTCGCCATGCGAAGATCTTTAGGATGAGTAACAAAGTTGTTCAGGTTTATTTTAAAGATAAGACTGAGATCCTTCTCTGATCCACTAATAGGCAGATTACATACACTGACAAACAAGGGCAGAGGAACACATACCCTCTTGAGGCAGCTTTGGAGAGTACTAATGAGGAGATGAACAAGCGGATGCAGTACACCAAGAACATCCTGAGTCATCTTCTACAGAATAACCCAAACTCTAGAGGGAGTCATAGAGCTAAAACTGGGGAAGCAACTTCTCCTAGGCATGAAATAGTCGTTTAGATAACCTTATTGATTTAAAATTAAGATAATGCTTTTTGGATTGACTTAATGGGGTTTTGGGGTTTTGGGGTTTTGGGGTTTTGGGG